TCCTCAGGGTCACTCTCCACGCTCAGCTGCTGGTAGCCAGAGGAGCAGTCGTCGTCGCTCAGCGCGTATGCTGGGATGGCAATCTTCCCCACCAGGGTGTCTGCTGAGAAGACCGTGGGGATGGGATGGTGTCAGCCCAGCTGGCCCAGGCACAGCCCCTCCGCTTGTGCCACCAGTCCCAGCAGGGCCTGTCTCAAGGAGGGGACTGCAGCCAGGAGGGGCCAGGCAGCTGCGCCTGCCCTAGCAGCAGCCGGCAGCCTGCAGGAGCCCACCACCCTGCGCATAGCAGGGCAAGGAGCTCCACAGCCACAACCTGCCCTGACACCCTGCTGCAGGGTCTGTCCTGGGTGCCCCAGGAAACCCTGTCACCTCCACCCTGCGGCTGGCAGGCGCCAGGACGTGTGGGTAGTAAGGTGGCACAGGGGTGGGTCAGGCATCCACGCGGGCACTGCAGGGCCCAGCTGGTAGGAAGCAGCAGTGGTGGGAAGGCGGAAGGCATTGAGCTCAGCCTGACCCAGGCAGGAGGGCTGGGTGCCTGTAAAACCGTGCTCCGGGCCCCCTCATTCTGCCACTGCCCCAGCCCTGGGGATGGAAGCTGGTCCTACTCCCATGGCCGATACCACAGAGCTCAAACACCAGCCCCACTCCATCATGCAGGAAAACAGACCTTCCCCAGCCCCACATAGCGCCGCTGGCCCACGGCGGTGGGGGGAAGCCTGTGCCAGGCTCTCAGAGGGCACATCTGCTTCCCAGCTGGGCACAGACCCATCCTCCTGCAGCCCCAGGAAGGGATGACAGGAGTGGAGCCTGCTGGCCCGGTGCCCCAGGTGTGCTCCCAGGCTGGTGCTGGGGGCTGGAAGGGCAGTGACATGCAGTCAAAGCTTTGCCACTACCAGCCTCAAGCTGTGCCCAGCTGTCCCTTGTGCTGTACCTGACCTTGGAGCCTGAGACCCAACAGAGGCCCACCGCCCTGAGAAGCAGCCTGGGCCCTCCCCTTCACTGCTGCCCACCTGGCTGCATCCAACTCCCAGAGCCCCAGGCAGGTGCAAGGGTGAGGCTGCTCCCAGGCTGCAGCACAGGGCGGCCCCTCCAGCCTCTGGTCCCCTCTCGCAAGCACTGCCTGAAGTGCAGACGTCAGAAAGGGGCATCCTGCGAGGGTCTGGCTATTGCCAGGGGAACCCTTGACTACACCTCGAGCCCCCACACTGAGGGTCTTGCCTCCTCAGCTCAGGCCTGCAGTCCAGCAGTGCCACAGCATCCCTGGAGCACTGTGCCCTGAGCGTGGCCGTGTCAGTGCTGCCCAGGTGGGACAGCATGGCCCATGGGGTGAGGACAAGGCCAGTGATGGCTGTCCTGACCTCCTCAGTGGGCCTGGAGGTGCCTGGTCCCGCTCCCCAGCTGGGGCTGGCACCTGAGAGTGGGAAGGAAGGTATTTCTGACAGCAGAAGGTCCGCTGCAGAGAGCAGCTTTCAGCTCTCACAGCATCCGGCTTCCAGAGCCGCTGGGTGGGCTTTGTCCTGGTGCTGGGCTCTGCGCACGGGCTGTGGGGAAGTGCAGCCCTTGAAGCAGAACCCCATCTGCCAAGCAGCTGGGACCACGCCTCGGCACGAGAGTGGGAGCTGCCAGCATGGCCCAGCGTGGCTGCTGAGGACACGGACCGGAGCACAGACCTTGTGGACAGCAAGGGGACAGAGCCACAGGGATCAGGCGGGCTGTGCCCCCCTCCTCTCACTACTGAGTATGTTCCCACGTTATTCACCGCTCACTGTCGAGGGCAGCGAGTGATACTCCCACCGGTCCTTGTGAGGCACCTTAATGGAGCTGGACTGGTGTTTGCTCCTCTCTGGCTGCCTCGCACCGTGGGCTGACCTGGAGCCTGGTGTGCCGCCGGCTGGGCAGGCACCGGCTGGCCACACAGAGGGGCTGGGGTGCCCGCAGGGCAGGCAAGTGGCAGGGAGCAGAGGCTGGTGGAGAGACAGCCCCGGCCCGGCTCCCCGCACCCCACACGATGCTGAGGGGTGGTGGTTGGGCAGGACCCTGCAGGGACAAGGCCCCAGCTCCCGGGTGGGCAGCAAAGCCGTGCCCCAGCGGCTTGGGGGAACCGGGAACTCCTGGGCAGAGCGGTGCGGACAGCTCCGGGGACGAGCCCTGCGATGGGGAGGCCTACCAGCCCCGGTGTCCCCACGGCCCCAAAGCCACCACGGAGGCGGGGGGGTCTTAACGGAAGGGGGAGCGCTCGGGGTGTGGGGGGGCAGTCAGTACCGGGAATCGGTGCCGGGAGGGCAGAGACCAGCGGGGGCCGGGGCCTCACCCCGCGGGAGGTGATCCGGGAGGGGGAAGGCGCCCGGGGACGGAGCAGTAGCCGGGCGGGACCGCTCCCGGGTAGGGCGGCTGCCGGATGGGGCCAAGCGCGGGGGCCGGTACCGGCAGGGCCGGGCCGCGTCCCCGCCCGG